GGGAGCCAGAGGCAGAAATGTTGTGGGATATTTGTACGCTGTGTGAAAATGTGTTGCTGTGATTGGCATAATAAAAAGCTGAATGGCCAATAGCTAGGCAGGATGTATAGATGGGACTTCTGGGCAGAGAGGAAACTCTGGGAAAAAGAAGGCAGAGTTGCCAGCCAGACACAGAGTAAGCAGCATAGGCAGTATGGAGAGATGAGGTAATGAGCCACATGACAGAATGTATATTAAAATAAATGAGTTAATTTAAGTTACAAGAACTAGTGAGATAAGCCTAAGCTAAGGCCAAGCTTTCATAACTAATAAGTCTCCATGTCATTTGTGAGCTGGTTGCCCAAAGAAAAATCTGACTACACAGAAGGATCATTGTGAAATATTTACATTGTATGAAGATGTGTCACTGTAATTGGTTTAATAAAGAGCTGAATTGCCCATAGCTAGGCAGGAGAGAATAGGCAGGACTTCTGGGAAAAGAGGGGAACTTGGGATGAATCTAGGCACTTGAGAGCTGCCAGCAAGACATTGAAAAGGTTGGACATATGGTACAAAGGCAAGGTAACCAAGCCATGTGGCAGAACATAGATTGATAAGAGCAGGTTAATTAAGTTATAAGAGCTAGTTGGGAAAAAGCCTAAGCTAAGGCCAAGCTTTCATAATTAATAAGTCTCTGTGTCATTATTTGCAGGCTGACAGTCCTGATTAGAAAATACTACTACAGATCATACTTTAAGGCAAGCCTCAGCTATACAGAAAAACAAAAACCAAAAGAAACACAAAAACACATATGTGTGCATCATATTTATACATAACTATAATATTTGCAATGTTCTTATTGGGGTGGAAAAAAGTATATTTGTGCTCATTTTAGGAACTTCTGGGGACCTTTGGGAACCAAAAGCAAAAGAGGAGAAAGTTATGAGCTTTTGCTTTATTATTTTTGTCTTCAGTAATGCTGGTATAGGGAGCATATGACACTCTCGTGGTTCAGGAGGTATTATCTGACAAAATCTCAAACTATGAAGATGATTCTGTAGTGAAAGCTCTGATTCTATAAAACCCCATGTCACCCAAGTTAGTTTTCTTTACACTATCATTTTCTTTTCTTTTTTTAATAGAAGGAAACCAAAGGAATGATCTCATTAAAAGTAATTCCTAATCAACAGAGTCGTCTTCCTGCACTACAGGTATGTAATGCCATTTTTTGTTTTGTTTTCTTTGAGATTGTACTGAAAGTGACACAATCCTATAACTTTAAGTTCTGAGTCTCTCACAGGTGTTTAGCTGCTTGGCATAGGATCCTGTTATCCACTCTCTCAACTAAAATAAAAGAGCTCATATCCTTTTCTTTTCTTTTCTTTTCTTTTCTTTTCTTTTCTTTTCTTTTCTTTTCTTCTCTCTTGTGCTTGTTCATGTCTATTCAAGTGCACATGTGTGGAGGGCAAAGGACAACCTTGGTTGTTATTCCTCAGGTGTCATTCATCTTTGTGTGTATGTAGGGGGTGTGCTTATGAGTGTGTATGTACATGTGTACATATGTGTGTATGAATGTGGACACCAGAGGTTGATATTAAATGTCTTTTATTTACCTCACTTCACCTTTGTTTTTTGTTTTGTTTTGTTTTTGAGGCAGTGTCTCTCAGAGAAACTGAAATTCACTGATTTGTCTAGAATGGTTGGCCAATGAGCTTCAGGGATTCACCTGTCTCTTCTTCTCAATCCTCTTACCCCTAATACTAGGATTACAGGAAGCACATCATTGTGCCTAGCTTTTTTAGTGGATTCTGAGGATCTGAACTCAGGTTCTCATAGTTGTGTGGTAGGCACTTTATCAACTGAGGTATCTCACCAGTCTCCATTTGGGGGGGGGAGGGACAAAGTTCCACCCCACCCCCACGCTAGTCTAAATCTCATCAATAGGTTAGGTTGATTGGCTAGTGAACCTCAGGAATCCTTCTGTCTCTGCCTTCCCAGCTCTGGGTTTATAAGTGTATGCCACTAGGCTCAACTTTTTAATGTGAGTTCTGAGGATCAAACTCAATTCCCTCATCCTTGGGAGGCAAACACTTTATAAACTCAACTGATCAGTCTCCTCATCGCTTAATTCCTTTTTCTTTGAGGAAAAAGACACTGATGGAGGTGATAGAAACAGGTTATTAGTAGCTAAGGAATAGCTAGAACAGGACCTTGGAAAATGAATGTGCAAAAGTTTTTTAAATACCAAACCTCGGGCTGGAGAAATGGCAGAGGACCTGAGTTTGGTTCACAGTAACCACATCAGGTACCTCACAGTAGTCTATAACTCTAGCTCTAGGGAATCTGATCTTCTGGCCTCCACAGGCAACTGTACATGCACACACATAAGTAAAAACAGAAATAAAAATAAATATTAAAATATCAAACCTGCCGGGCGGTGGTGGCGCACGCCTTTAATCCCAGCACTCGGGAGGCAGAG